GTAGCGGTGCTTAGGCGAAGCCCTGCGACAGTAGAACATCAAGATCGTCACCACGCCGTTGTGCTGACAGAACTCTTCCCCGACACTTTGCTGGATCGGAGTCCGGGGATCGTCATCGAGTTGAACGTGTGCTAGAACTCGGAGGTGCCGTAGTTTCGGTGCTTGATCGGTCGGGCCGTGAAGACGTACGACTACATCAACCGCGTTGTGCTAACGCTTCCGCTTCCGGTCTACGAGGGTACATAGACAACACTCTCCCCTCTCGTTGCTATGCATCACCATGATCTTGCGTGTGCGTAGGAAAATTTTGAAATTACTATGTTCCCCAACAGGACGGTGCAGGAGAGCCTCCATCGGTGCTGACGAGCTCGGCGATGCAGTCTAGCCAGTCCTCGTAGAGGTCGTCGACCGGGCGGTAGCGCAGGAGCTCGTGTGCCATGAGCAGCGCGGCCTGTGCGTCCATGGGCGCGTGATGAGCGTGGGACGATGAGCCTGCCGAAGTCAGCGACAGGGTGGCGGTGCGGCCGTCCTGCCGCACGGAGGGGTGAAGTGATGATGCTTGCTGCTTGTTTGCTGCCGGACCGGTCGCGGCGTTGGCAACAAGTGATGGAGAACGGCAGGGAGGTCCGTCAACGGACGCCGTCTGGGCGACGTGAGCGGCCAGGGCGGCTTGGCGCTCGGTGCGAGCTCGGCGAGCGTCTGACATGGATGTGGTGGAGTCACGGAACGTGGATCGACGGAAGGAAAGCTTCAGCGCACCCCTACCTGGCGCGTCAATTGTCGGATTTCGGGTTCCGGCAAAACCCTTGAGGTTCGAACACTGGGGTGCGCACGAAGATCTTTCCCCCAGCTCACGCTCTCACAACGATCTCAGAACTTAACTCGTCGAACCCGAAGAGCAAAGGACACAAGGTTTATACTGGTTCGGGCCACCGATGTGATGTAATACCCTACTCCAGTGTGGTGTGGTGGATTGCCTCTTGGGTTGAGGATGAACAAGTATAAGGGAAGAAAAGCCTCCTTAGAAGAGGTGTTCTTGGGCTCGATGAGCTTGTGTGGTTGAGGATGGAATGGATCCGATCCTAGATGAGTCGCCTCCTACTGTGGTGGCCAGTACTATTTATAAAGGTCCTGATCCTTTTCCCAAATGTAGGCGGGAAGTGATCCAAGAACGGCCAAATTTGAAGGAAGACAACTAGTACGAGTTATCCTGACAAAAGGTGGTCTTCACCTACCAAAGGCTCTGGTGGTGATGCCGTCCTGGACTCCACGGTGACCTCTGTCCTGCCGTCCTGCTGGTCTTGGTCTTATTGCACCGATATGGAAACCTTTGCCTGATGCCTCGGGACTCCTCGCCCGCGCCTGCCTCTTTAGCATCAAAGAGGAAACGAGTACACTGCGCACGCTGGCGCACGCCTGGTGCCCGCCTGACCTTCGTCGTCATGGCTTACGTCACAGGAACCTCGCGAGGTGCCCCTCGCTTTGATCTCTCTGCCCCTCGCAGCCCAGCCTAGTGAGGCCGCCCTCGAGGAGGTCTTGCGTTGTACGCCTCGCGAGGCTTGGCCCTTCGCAAGGGTCTTGAGTGTTTGTTGATGAAGATGGGGCGTACACGCGCGCTGGTGGAGTCACGCCGTGGGCCGCAGGCAGGCAAGTCTGGAGACCCCCGTTTCCAGAACGCCGACAACATGCGCTCGCAAGTCAGCCTATGTTGGGAAGGTTCCAGAAGCTTCCTTCTTTGTTTTGGAAGCTTTGGGACCGTAATGGCCGTTTTTTGTTTTCTTTTCTCGGTTGTTTTTGTGTGATTTTATAGTTTCTTTTTTCCTTTTTCTTGTTTCTTTTTCCCTTCCTTCCATTTTCTTATTTTTTTGAAAATTTTAAAAAAGGAAAAAAATCTTCAAAAACATGTTCCGAAATTTGAAAATTGTTCATGTTTTCCACAAGAAAATTGAAGTTTCAATAAATGTTCAGTTTTTTTGAAACTTCGAATTCAAAAAGTTGTTCGCAATTTCAAGAGAATGTTCATCAATTTCAGAGTTGTTCAGCATTTAAAAATTTGTTCAATTCTTAATTTGTAAACATTTCAGTATTGCTGAACTCAAAAACTTTTTAGAATATTTTAAACATATTTTAATTTCATGAATATATATTTTAATTTCATGAACATGTTTTTTAATTTGCATTTTTATTAGATATTTGTAAAGTGACAAATATTTTTGAGTTTGCAGTATTAGTATGAACATTTTTTTGGCAGTGGAAAAAACAAAAAAACACGAATCATTTTGGCAGTGGACAAAACAAAAGAAAAACATGAATCATACTTGTTTAGGTCGTACCTACACTAATCTAGCACTAAGCGGTCCGACATATTTGGTCGGCTCACAACACGCTAGTGCGTTCCGGACGAGACTTGCCTGCTCCCTCGACGTGTGCCCATCCGTGCTCCCGCATACGTGGCTTGAACCATAGGATAAAGTGGGAGCACGGATGGAAGCATGAGGAGGGAGCAGGCAAGCCGGATCCAATGCGTTCCAATATGAGTGCGGGGCGATGTAGAGACCTTCTAATCAGTACTTGTGGCGCTAATTAGCGCTGCAGTGCACATACGCTCACGTGTGTGGGCCGGCCCTTGGTCATTGGTGGGGTAGATGACCCGACGACATTATAAACTATTGCATGCAGGGAGGCTCTTGCATTAGGTCAAGATCTTCAGCTCCATCGCATTGTCATCGCCTCTGGCACCTGGCAAGTGGTTTTGGACATTAACAGCAGATCCAGAGGAAGTTACCGTGCTATCATTAGCGATATCAAATCATACTCTAGTTTGTTTCAACGTAATTTTACTTTTGAAAGTCATAAGGTGAACGTAGAAGCGCATCAAGTTTTCACTCGCGCTAGGACTGGGATGCCATGTGTGGTTTGGCCAATCTTATGATCCAATGTGTATCCCACAATTTATGGTTTTTGATGAATAAAGCTTAGTTATAGTCCAAAAAAACTGTTCGCTCGGTCTTCCTAAAGAAAACTGTTCACTTGCCTTTTTCTCTATTGGTGTTGTGCTGTCCTTTTTTTGCGGGTATTTCGCTATCCTGATTTTTTGCGGGTATTGTTGTTGTCCCCTTTTTTCCGGGTATTGTTGCTATCTTGTTCAAGAAAGAAAACTGACTACCAGTATTTTAAATTCAAGAAAATCAAAGACTTAGAAAAAGTTAACAGTTTTGAAAAAGACGCAAATTTGAAGATTCATCACGATTTTGAAAAAACCTTCACGGATTTGAAGATTTGTTTATGAATCTAAATTGTTTATGATCTTCAAAAAGCTAATGGATTTGAATTTTTAATAAAAATGTAAATGAAAAAGGGAAAGGAAAGAGAAAAACCAAAAACCAAAGAAAAACCAGCAGAAACCACAAAGAAAAAATGGTCTAAAGCTTCTAGAAGCTCCAGAAAACCGAAATCATGAAGTTATGAAATCATTAATTTAAGGGTGCCCCTTGCAAAGATCACTCACACCATCTTCGTTGATGACTTGTCGCTACCCGAGATTTTCGCCCTTTTTTTCTTTTGTAGATTCGTTTTTTCAAAATGTTTTATATTTTGAACCATGTATCCAAAACACGAACCATTTTTCACCATTGGATTTCTTGAGTCGAGCTCTTCAAATCTAGATCTCATATAATAATTTTCAGTGTTTCTTTTTCATGAAAATGCCAAAACTGAAACGAAAGAAAACCGATAAACACTCCAAAAAAACCGAAAGCACGATTGTGTTTTTTTTTTGCTCTTTAGGGAGCACAAATTGTGCTTTCCCCAACCTGCAATTTTTTTTTGCAGATTCGTTTGTTGAAAAGAAAACGATTCAGATCAGACGATCGATCAAGCGCGAGCATCCGCCGCCTCTCCCGTGCGATGTGCGTGTTGCGCGGGACCCGTCCAGCATTATCTGTATGGAGTAGTTCCCTTCATCTTTATCTCACCCACACCAACCGCTCAACCTTTTCCTTTCTTTCATGGCGTTTTGTCTCTCTCAAGCCTTCTCTCAATCTCTCACCCAAATCTCCTACTAGATGATGTTGTTTTTTGTAGCTAGTGCGTGGTTCAGGGAACTGCGACTGCATGCAAGACCTCGTCCATGCCGCCCCTGACCATCACCGGCCGTGCGAATAGCGACGGTGTTGTCAGCAACAGCGGCAGTGTTTCTGAAACATCATCTTTGTTGCAATTTTTTCTGCAATATCCTGTGTGTTGCAAAAGTTCCTTCTTCAATAACATGGCAAAAGAATTCTGCAACAAAATCTCTGGTGCGAAAAAATTCTGCAACAAGGCTTGTGTTGCAATAATGGAGGACATTGCTAGTTGCAAAAAATAAAATCTACAACAAGATCACGGTTGCAAAAAAAATTCGCAACAAGGCTTGTGTTGCAATAATGGAGGGTGTAAAAAATGTGCAACAAGACATGCGTTGCAATAATGGAGGGCATTGCTGGTTGCAAAATATTTCCGCAACAAGGCTTGTGTTGCAATAATGGAGAGTGCCGCTGGCCACTCGATGCACCAGATCCGATGGCTGGCGACCCGACCGATCTTTTAAAACGATCTGCCCGCGTAGCTGCCCCCTTGTTGAAAACGTTCTATTTCTTGAACCATGCATCCAAATGCCGAACCGTCTTCATAATTGAATTTCCCGTGTTAACATGTTTCGACAAACTTTTTCCAGAGTTGCTTCCGGGCCGAGTGGGCTCACGCCATCAAGCCGGTGGGCTTTGCCCGCCCGCCTGCCTCTTCAGCAAAACACGGCTCGGAAAGCGGCGCTGTTCGCTGCCGTTCTCCCACTCTCGCCTGGCCTGACCTGACCTGACCTTATCCACCGCCCCGACGCGACGACTGGCCGCGAGCGACGCAGCCGCATACCGCGCGCGTGAGCCCCCTTCCCCTCTCCCCACCACCCCGCCCCTGTTCCCCGGAAGCGCGCGAGCTGCCGCCGGAATCAGCAGGCCGCGAAGATGGTGGCCGCCTTCGCCGTCACTCCCTCCTCGTCCATGTAAGTACAGTAGCCCCAAATCAAATCAAGTCAAGCTCCCCTCTCTACCCGTTTCTTGCTGATTTTCTTCCCTTTCTTCGCAGATGCGGCGTCTGCGTCCCGACGGCGTGCCGTCCGGAGGCGCGGGGCATAGTGCCGGCGCCGAGGTTCTTCCATAACCGGAACCAAGGTACACACACTTTTGTTTCCCTTCCCCACATAGTTACATTGCAGCGGGCACTCGCAGGCAGAATCGTGGGGCTCGATTCGGACTCAAGTGTGAAGATGAGTCCAATGTTAGGCTAGCAAGGACCTGAGTCAAGCCGGCGACACGCTGAACCAGATTAGGAATGGTCGTTCGTTTCTTGGCTGGCCCATGACTCACATGGAACTTGGTGTGGTGGTTAATGTAGAAATTGCACCGCGAATAGTTTCCAGCAATGCTGAATGCTTATTTATTTCTAATTTTTCTTGTTAATGTTTGGAAGACGCCATCAGTCTATCTCGCACGTTGCTGTACCCACCCCCAAATTCCAGCTATGCTATTTGCACATCTTGTGGGTAAATTGACTCTGTGAGTTCCTCTGCTGATTGGCTCTAAAAAATCAGCATCGTGCTAGATAGGAGGCCACTGATTGCACCATGTTTTAAAATGTTTGGTGTCCAATGAACTTGCACGCCTTTGTTATTTTGTCATCTGTTAGTTGCTACTTGCTAGTAGGCTGAATATATTGTTCGTGATGTGTTCTGTCACCTCTGTCGACCTGTTCATGAAGCATAAATGTTCATTTGCTGAACTAATAACTAATAAGTGCTTGCCAAACACTAATGATCTAATCATGTTTTGATTGCAGCGAACACACGGTCTGCAACAGCTTGGTCCTTGAAGGCCGGTCTATGGGACTCTCTCAAATCTGGGTAAAGTACATTATGTACCCCTTTAAATATTTGTGTTATGTTTATGTTTAAAAAATATCTACTACTATATCATCTATGTACTATTGAAAAAAACACTATTTCCAGAGCTTCCCACCTTGATGCAAAGGGTTAAACCATTAAACAAGTGCGGGTTTCCCACATTATCATGGCTGGGAGCCTGGGACAAAAGAAGGCGAGGATAAAGTAACAGTGACATCTAAGAATTCACATGTTAATCATGAGAACAAGCATTGCTATAGTGGGACTCAATCATGGTGGCAGGAAAATGATCCTGCTAAAATTCGGATCATCTTTTCTCCAGAGCAAGCAGCAGGAGCTCCACCTCTCCATTAAGTAGAAAAACCAGCCGAAAACTGATACAGTGGACTCAACCAGCCTAGCACACTAGGCCCAGAGCTCACACACATCACAGAAAACGCAATACCTGAACACCCACAAACCAATGGACATGTGAGCACGGGCAGAAGAGCACACCACACTGCAACTCTGCTGAAAATGTGCTCGCTGCACCACAGAAACCCTATGCCCCTGTTGAGTATGCTAGATCCAGTGTGATTGCCCCAACGAAGAGAGCACGGCATTCCAGCCAGGCTTGACAGAAGCATGATAGAACCCCAAATAAAGTGTCGAGGAAAGAAACTCTGACTGCTGCCAAGAAGCCACTCTCCGAACAAGTAGTTTGATATGTTCTTTTATTGTCCGCTTAACAAGGGAGTCTCAAAATATTATACTGAACACCGAGCCTGAAAACTCATGATCTTTCTTGCATGTTACATACCTTTAGAGTATTATCCAACAGTTGCATGTCATGTTTCTGAAATTTGTACCTTATGGGGAAAAAACCCAATGCTTTTGTTTCACAGGTTTTTAAAAACTAGCAATAGTACAGAGACAGTAGAGCCACTATCCACAGCACTTGAAGAAGAAGAAATTGTACCTGAGGAATTAGTGCTCCTAGAAAGGACACTCCCTGACGGTAGCACAGAACAGATCTTATTTTCTTCAGCTGGTGATATTGATGTATATGATCTCCAGGCCTTATGTGACAAGGTGATCTTTCCTCAAAGCACTTTGATGTTTCGTCCTGCAGTGTTAGTGATTTATCCTACAAGAAATATTTAGTTTTGTAATGTTCATCTCATAGGTAGGATGGCCACGCAGACCTCTAACAAAAATAGCAGCATCCTTAAGAAACAGCTACTTGGTCGCTACACTACATTCAATAACTAGGTCTTCGGAAACAGGTACTTGCGTTGTTTAATTGTTACTGGATCTCGTGTGATCCGTGCAAATAAGTTAAAACCAGTTTCCTAATCTTCAGATTATTTGCAGAAATTCATTTTTCTAGCTGACGAACATCTTAGTATAGAAGTTGTTTGACAGAGGGAGAAGAGAGGAAGCAACTGATTGGTATGGCGCGGGCAACTTCAGACCATGCGTTCAATGCTACAATCTGGGACGTCCTTGTTGATCCTTCCTATCAGGTGAATTGGCGAAGACTTTTCTGCTTTGTGTCTGAGTCCTCCTTTACTAGTTGTTGTATCAAGATTCGTGCGTAGTGGCTTAGAACTTAATCATTCCAGGGTCAAGGTCTTGGTAAAACACTCATGGAGAAAGTGATCCGTACTCTGCTCCAGAGGGACATCAGCAACATCACACTATTTGCGGACAGTAAAGGTACTTCTCTAGCGGACCCCAACTTGTTTGGGGCTGAAGGGCTTTGTTATTGTTGTTGTTAATTGATTTCCTCGTAATACACGCGCGCCGCGGCACATCGATGCGTTCTGCTTTGTGGTAGCGGGGAAAAATGGATGTTCCGTTCGTTGCCGGATGCAGATAATGCAGCACAGTAGTATATACTGTTTCATCAGGCTGCTAACGGATCATTGTTGGTGGTCCTTGATTCCTTCTGATTAATTGCAGTGGTGGACTTCTACAAGAACATGGGGTTCGAAGCCGACCCCCAGGGCATCAAGGGCATGTTCTGGTACCCCAGAGTTTAGTAGCTCCGGTGGCGGCCCGGGCGCCCGCCTGGTCTCCGCCCGACGACCGGCGCAGTCTGCTCCAGTGCAGAAGAATATTGGCAGGAGCTGAGCTGTGTATAACAGCGACTCGAGTGGCCGATGGCCATTTGCAACGTCTGGTGCCACCGGCTCTCAGGTCCTGTTGGTCTGTATGTAACTGCTAGGAAGTAAAGTATCCCTGTTCTCGTACTGCGAAGGAGACGGCCACACCCAACATTATTATACCGTGGAAGTCAAGAGATTGGTCTTCCTCCAATCAACATGTCCAGGTCCACATCGCGTCGCCGTTCACTCGGTCGGTCCAGTAATCGGTCGGTTTTCTGGACTGTTTCTGTCATTAACGTGTGAGATTTTTCGAGCAGCGTATGTATGAATGTATATGGGGTCGTCTCGTGTTGGCCATCATCATCCACTGAAGCTGGAGAGGTGGGTCGTGCCGTGGAAGCTTTTCATCTCGCTGGCCGACAAGCCAAGCCACTCAATGCAGCTGGTGTCACCGGCGGCCAACCTGTGCCGTCAACGACAAGCCGTTGCCGCTGCTCCTGCTCGCACGCGGTCAGCGCGCGTGCGTTCTTGACCCGATCTTGTGGCTATCCGTTTCGGCCGCCCTGCAGCGATCTTCTGCTGCGCTACACGTGCTCTGCGCAAACCGATTCCAGAACGCGAATAGTGGTGCAGAGCAGATATGATCCGTGGTTGATTGCACTCCACGTTCCGACCAATCAACCTTCAACCCACTGGAATAAATGAGAGAGCTCACATACATTTTCCTATGCACTGCCGTCAGTCAAGTACGTTGTCTTGCTCGGGAATCCTGCCATGGCGTGCGGGCTACACACAGACACAGTGTGCGCCCTCCACGACGGTGATATCATATCACGCAGCTGGAATGGAAGATCGACCGGGTGCGTGAATCGTGATAGGGTTAGCCTGACAAACCCCGACCATCCAGAAGAGGTCATTAGCATCACACGCCCTTTTTTCTGCGAGAAATTATTATCACGCGCTCTTACCAGTGACTAGCAGCGACTGATCAATCAGACGGGTTTTCTGTCCGACTCCCAGCGCCAAACCCGCGAGCTGATGAGATGATCGAGGATATGATGTTTCTTGGCGGTTTGCAGGTCTATCTGGGGCCGGAAAGTCTGGCCACAATTAGAATCTCGCACAAGGTGAGTGATGGACCCATCGATAGTGTCGCTCAGGGAGGTGTGTGCGCGTCATGGCAGCGTCAGTGTGTCGCCGCGTTACCAGTGGGAACGCTGCCACCGTTGTCTAAAACCCATGCATAAGCATGCTTCCACTTGAACCTTGATCTTGCTTTCTCGGTGCGCGGTTACATGTACTAATATATAGCCATCTCTCTATATTCGCCACTCACCATCACCCTCACAGGCTAAGTATAGATTTGTTTACGGCATCGATGTGGCCACTCTACTCTCATTCTCCGCTGATCCCCGACCCCGAGGCCAGGAAATGTAGACTAATTTCGTCTGGATATTGTTTTATAGTTAGATGGGCTTTCTTATGGTTACCCAGATATTACCCTCTCAAAACTCATGTCATATGATATTGGACGCAATGATGCAGTGATTCCCAGCTTGATTAAGAAAAGCTGCTATCAAGTAGCAGAAGGTCCACATATTCAAAAGCTGCTTAGCTTAATGAGGCTATCGGAATCACTTTGTACCAACTTGAGTAGCTTTCAAGTCTCGTGGACTTAACAAAGGGACAAAAGGAAGAAGAGAAGAAGATCAGCCCGTGTTGTTGTTGATCCTTTTTTTCCAAACTTAGTCATGTATCACGCGTCACTGATATAAAGGTGAAAAAAACCTTCTCTAGCTGGATCTCTCTGGACTGTCAAATTGTATTGGATTAGATCAAGCTGGGGGTAAATATCCCAAAAGCACACGGCCAGCATGCATGCACTAGCCAGTAGCCACACATTTTGACCAGAGCAACGGTAACTATATGTACATATCTACTAGCACAATCTTAATCAAGTTGAGCCGCTTCACTCTCACCACTGTCGTCCGATCTACGCTCCACTAATGATGCAGACCACTTTGACTTTGATGCCCCTCAGCTAGCATGCTTGCATGCCTCTATGTCGATCCACCACTAGTTGTTGCTCCACGAAATCTAAGGCCGCCGTCATTCTTTTTGCTCAAAAGGTCGATATATGCTAATTAATCTTTGTACAAATCTGGGCGCCCCATAGGCGCACGGAATGTATCACTGCTGCAAAATGGGGCTAAGAAAACACATCTACTGCACACCTTTGGACCGAACTATGTGCGATGCAAACATCACAAACGGTAGAGAAATAAACTCATGTGCCAGAAAAAGAAACGTGTGGGCCCATCCATCAGACAAGATTTTGAAACGCAAGTTGTGTGTGATAATGGGCACACATTAAGGTACAATGCATGTGTGATATGTCATCATAACAACAACAACAACAAAGCCTTTAGTCCAAAAAAAATTGGGGTAGGCATCTTTTGGGTTTCATCTCCATAAAAATGGCTGAGTTTTTACGTTGGCTCGCCAAGCCTATCACAACCCTTCTCCTTTATCCGGACTTGGGACCGGCTATATTGAGACAACATAGGCGGAGTTATGTCATCATAATGCACACAATTGATATTTCTTAATCATGTGCGTTGATGGGCAAACACTTTACCAAAATGAGTTGTGTGCGATGCCTTGGAGGGATGGGGATCCCCTGACGTGGCCTATTCTGCCATTGAATCACTGACACATGGGTCCCACCAATCATGGGGGCCTCACATGTCAGTGACAGAAAGGCTGGGATTGCTACGTCAAAGGATCCATGACTGCCTTAGAGCATCGCACATGTTACGCTATATGGTCACTGTTGAATTATTGATGGACTTTGGCCCATATAAGACAATATTCTTGGTTAAACTCTGAGGCCCATGTAGGTGTATGGTAAGTAGGTGGAAAATTTAGTACCACACTGCTAGTGGAAGAAGAGTTGGACCTCTTTATAATGGTTGCTCTACCACATGCCATTGGGAGCTTGGGAAAAGGAGTGGTACGCGCGCTCCTCCTCTGTCGCCTGCTTCGCCTCGCCACGCCACGCCAGGACGCGCGCATCATTGGTTGCGGGAATGAGCTGAGCCGAGATCACACCTAGCAGAAGTGCAAATGTCCAAGACATTGGATGGTGGGTTGTTCGCGGACTTGGTCATGGGCCTCGGCCCAGGCCCATTTACCCGACGACCTATATATTGGAGGAGTTGGCCAGTGCAGCCGGCACACTCACTCCAGCCATCATCTACCGCTCCTTTCAGTGTGCTACTTCCGGCGATCCCGTCCCAACAAGCGCGTGCACGGTTGGTCAGGAGAGCAGGTGCCTTTGGAACCCTGTCCTTCGAGATCCCGCCCAAGAGAAGGGCGATAAGGTTTTTGAGGAGCGTCTCGGCGCGACTGCTCCCTGTCCGTCCCCGTCTCTGTCCTCATTTGCTTTGACTACTTCCCCTGCATCGACCCTATGGTCGATGATGAAGCCGCCAAGAAGAAGGCCACGGACGTCGCCAAGGCTGTTGTTTCCGCCGCTGCGTTGGCCTGGCCAACCCAAGGGTATGACTTATGCATCCCCTATTTTCTTATTCACGTGCTAACCAGATATGATGTGTTCATAGATGTTTTAGTTCTATGTCATGTACGTGCTCACATGTTTAGGTATCGGTATGAGTTGCAACACACAATGATTGTCATGTTTATTATCTACTCGTGGATTAGATTATCAAAAATGTGCTAGTATTTTAGTAGTTACCGTATGTGATGATTTAAAAGTTGCGTTAATCATGTGCAATAACTCATGAAAGTGCATACATTATGTTGTGAGAATTGTGTGCTCTACCAGGCATACAATTTAATCAACAAAATTGTGTTATACTGAAGATCATCTCTCATGATTACGTCATATGGATTGTGTGCGATGTGACTTGTCCCATCTATACGAACAACATCCTCTGTCTGCAGACGTACATACTTAATTAAAGCAACCGTAGGATAGTCGTCATACGATTGCATCAATTTATATATTTCATTAATAGAAACGCCATCGTCTTGGCGAGGACACTTGTTGGTGACCGTCGGCTTCTTTTCGCCGCTGTCCTCCCCCTCCTCCTCGTTGCCCCTACCTCCTTCTCATCATCGTCATCTTCTTCATGGTTCTCCGGGTGCTCCTCCTCTGAGTCGGGTTCCGATGGCGGCTTTGGCCTTTCCATGAACTGGATAAATTCGAGGTTGGGGATCAAGGGCGGAGTCATGGACTGTGAGCCCAATGATTCCCCGCTTGAAGCGGACAGACTGGGGGTGTCGTCCTCGCAGGAGGAGTCTGGGTTCTTTCATGGCCCTTCAGAGAAGGACATGCCGGTACTGCTAGAGATTGCAGAAAGAATGGGAGAACGCGGGGATGAAGAAGAGAGCAATGCCGCTTGAAGTAGGCATTGATGGGTTATATTAGCTCATTAGAGGGCGGTTAGAATTTTGATATAATTAATAGCAATTAGTACCACCGCTCCGAGATCACGCGGTTGCAATTCTCAAGATGATAACTACACACACAATTTTGAACTATTCACACGCTTTGCTCAAACAAAACATGTGTTAATATAGGACCATTGTGAAGCAAGATGAACTCTGCTGCTGCTCATATCAGTCAAGTAGGCTCGTTTCTCATCGGGAACTGTGTATGATGATGCTATATCTGATCTATATGGCATGACATGCATACCGAGGTGCATGTTTACAGCTTAGAGCATCTTCAACAGGTGCGCCAAACTAGCGCCGCGTCGCAAAATCTCCCGTTTTAGCGCGCGCAACCGGAATAGTTGCTCCAGCGGGCGCGCGAAAACAGCGCGCGCAGCATACGTAGTCCAGCGCGCGGGCCGAAACGCAATCGCGCGCCGCTTATTTGCTGCGCCCGCTCCCACGCGCTGGACTCTCGCGTGCTCGCTCGCACCTCCCAGCCCCCTCCAGCCGCGCCGCCGCCGCTGACCGAGCTACCCGGTGACCGTTCCGGCGCTTTCCCGGCCTATCCCCGCCCCGCGCGCTTTCTCCGCCCCCCCTCTAGTCCCGCCGCCCCGCGCGCGTGCTGGTCCTCCGATGAACAGCGCCCACGCGCTCGCTGCCACTCGTGTGATCATGCTTGTGTGATCATGCACAACATGATCATCGAGAATGAGCGTGGCCAAGATGTAGACTACTCTTAGTATGAGCTCTTGGGACATCCCGTGCGAGTGCGACGGAGGGCTGAAAGGGTGGCCCGTTTTGTTGCCTCCTATCATGTCATTCGACGTCTCGCAGCGCATAATGATCTTCAGAAGGATCTCATTAAGGAGTGGTGGGCATGGAATGGACGACAAAGAGCATCATGATTTGTGCGTTCGTTATTGTATTGTTGAACTATTTGTTGTGTTTAATTGCACTGTTTGTTGTATTGAACGATAAACTGTTTGTTTGAATTGTAATAAACGAAATTGAACTATTTATTTTTGTTTGTTTTGATCTTTTTGCTTATGTTTTCGAATGCATATGTTGTTTGTGCGAGTCACGCGCGCTGCATTTTTGCGCGCTGCTGGAGCGACGCGCGCGCTGCATTTTAGCGCGGCTGCTGGAGCCAGCGCTGCGCGCCGCGTCAAACCAGGCGATACGCGCGTAGCATATCTGTTTTTTGCACGCGGCGCGACCGGCGCATGTTGGAGATGCTCTTATGATGGTGCATTGAAATATGCAAAAGCCTAGGTTATCCACCCACCCCAAGTGATTGGGGGGCTCGTGCTGCACAATGTGCCATTAGGGCGGGGTTTTGTGAAGTGTTTCGTGTAAGGGGTGCATTCATGGATCTCCCTATACATAATGTAGGGGACGATACTGAACACAAGACCTCGGGAGAAATACTGCTAGGTCATATCCAATGGCGCATGTCTTCTCGCCACGACAGCTATTTGTGTGCTTTCCCAAAGAAACCTAACAATCCCAATCCGAGTGCAGAGTTTTATAGCAAGCAACTGATATCGTTTTTGGCACTATGTTACTAGCCAGAGATATCAGGAAGTGACCAGACGACCACTCGACTACTTTGTCACATACCATGGTCACATGTACCCGTCAACGACAAATACTTTTGGTGTTTTTATGCATTCATTTAGGGAAGGCCAGAAATATACTAGGTTATAGAATAGATTATCTTATTCTCTGCAAATTCATGTTTGAACCCCCTAAAATTACGAGATGATTAAAATTAAACTAGATAACATGTGACTACTAAGCGATCATATTTTGGTTCGATGTTTCCGTCGATTGCGAGGTATTTATGGTGACTTCGTGAAATTTCAAGATACTATGTTGGTTCAGTCTCTCGAAGGTGCTCATAGAGGTAAAGTATGTATGCGTGCACTCATAGGGTCAGCGTATGCTCGTGTATACGAGCGACTTCAATTGTACTGTATTAAAAAAGGCAAACCAATTTTTTTTATTTCTTTTTTTGAACTCAGTAGTTATCATATTATTCCCTTCGCAAGATATTTATTTTGAGACAGACTTATTTTGGGACGAAGGGAATACCGTTGTAGCGTCCCCTTGATACGGGGCCATCTAGCTGGTGAGATAGCGGGGTTCCACAAGGGCTCGCGTGCAAATTCCAATTGCAAAAGAATTTCCAGCACAGTCTACGCCCAAAGCAGCCGGGGTCCCTAAAAAAACGAAAAGAAAAAAAAGAGCAGCCGGGGGATCCCCCACCCCACTCATATAACGAGCGCGCCACGACGGCGGTGGACTCCAGTTCCACGGCGCCTACGATAGCCTCGCCTCGTCGCCTCCCTCCTCTCTCTCTCTCTCTCTCTCTCTCTCTCTCTGCTGCTGCTGCCACCAGTACCAGCACGACACAGGTCTCGCGGCCGCAGGGACAGGCGGTGGTCGGAGAGGAACGCCGTGCCCGTGTGGGAGCGAACTAAGCAGGGAGGACAGAAGCATCGGAGCTCCGGGGGGACGGACGCGAGGCCGCGCCCCCTTCCCCGCCGGCTTTCCTGCCGCCCTCTTCTTGCAGGGAGGGAGGAGCTTCGCGGCGCAATTTCGAGGTGCGTTCTTCCCCAGATTCTTCCATCTGGTTTACAGTCTACCAGCGGACATTCCTGCGAATCTTGTTCTGCTGGCCAGGTTTGATTCTGCTCCGCCTCATGCGCCGCAGAAAATTACTGGTTTTCCGGGTTTAGTTGATAAAAAATTTCCAGGTTTGGTTCGATTGCTCCAGTCCAGGCATTTTCATCGGTTCCTCATCCCCTCCGGATCCCGTCCCGAAGCGTCTCAAAACATTTTACCCATCCATTTACCGTTCGAAGTCCCAGTCTACCTGCAACATCGTTGTCGCGGCACTTGCCGGTGGCTTTGTCCGCACTTTAGCCCATCGGCATCGGGTGCAAGTACCTGTTGCATCCCCCGATTTTCAGTTGGCATGTCGTGGCTGCAAAACAGTGTGGCGTAATTATCGGTGCCGTCCACTTCATTCATGGCCGTGGTCCCTGGGCTGGGAGACGAGCAAAATATGTTTGCCACCAGTTTTTTTAAAATGGTTTGGTTTGATCGCTCCGAGTCCGCATAGATCTGCTTGCTTGTGCAAAGGAGGGGTTGGTGCACAGCTGCATGTGACTGTTATCACATCTGGCCAATTGGCCTGGCCATCATCAGCGCGCCTCCCATTAAAAAATCGTGCAAGGATGAATAATATACTATTATTTTCTGATCTTAGCGTCGGCATCACGGGTGTTTTGGCTTTTGGGCTGTCATGAGGCATAATCACTAGATGCTAATAACTGCTGCATTTTTCTTGTTTAGGACCCAGAGCTCTTGAAAAAGAACAATATTCCTGTTGGGAATGTCAGAAGTTTCTGCTTAATTAAACGGTCAGACAGTGAGAGAGAGATGGTTACTTTTGGAGGCATCTTCTGCGTTGTTATTCTGGCTGTGATGCTCCCCTGCTTGGATGTTGCGCTGGGGCAAAGTACTGACCCTTCAGAAGGTAATCTCCTGCTTGCGTGTGGAGTATCTTGTACTATGTTACTGCTACCATTCTGAAAAGAAAAACAAGGAAAACCGATTGATCTTTTATGATGTTATGTCTGATGTTCAGCTGAGACAGTATTCTCTCACTATGTTATATTATGTTTTTTTTTTCAACCTTTCACACAAACTGAGTGTTTTATTTTTCATAATGATGTAGTCGATGCACTCGGGGCTATCAAGCGAAGCTTACTTGATCCTATGAATAACCTTGAGAACTGGAACAGGGGAGATCCATGCACTTCTAATTGGACAGGAGTTTTCTGCCACATAATCAATGATGCGCTTCATGTGACAGAATTGTATGATCACTACTTCTATCTAATCTGTTCATAATATCTTCACTTCTGTTTGTTCATTCTATGAGCTCTGGTCATCATGGTTTTTTAAGATGAGCTCTCTATTTATCAACAGGCAAGATTGTTTACAAGCAGTAGCCTTTCCAATTAAATGCTAATGTCTATGTGTTATGTGGATCACTAATAAAATATATGTTTTCTTCATGCACCCATAAGAAACTAATTAATGCCTTAAACTTAAAAGTATCTCATGGTCATAATAAGCAGTTTAGACGCGTCAAAAAATAATAAGCAGTTTACTCGAAGGCAAAACAGGAACTACCTTTACTTGTAAGGGGCAACTGTGCATCTCCCTTGTCCCTTGATGTTGATAATTTATCCCACCATATTTTCCTGTAGTTTTGATTGTTATAGGTCACTTATTATTTGTCGGGTTGATTATTTTAGCGTAATGTGCAACCTGTCATGTTCCTGATAGCATATATTTTATTCAATGCAGACAGTTATTTAAGAGGAACCTGTCTGGAACTTTGGCACCAGAGGTCAGTCTTTTATCTCAGCTGAAAACACTGTAAGTATTACTCTGATGTGTGAAGTTACTGATTTACTTAAGTTCTTCTGCAGTAGTTAAATATTAAGACTTGCTACACTTCAGTATTATCAACGTATACAAATTCATGGTGTCGTAGTAGCAATTTGATACAAAGGCTTAAATTATCCTACACTATGGAATTACTGAAGAGAGTAACCAGTCAGTAAAACCATAATCCTATTCCGATGTTGAATGCTTGTCTCATGCTTATAGTAGCTGTCATGTTTACTCTGAAGCTATTCTATCCTAATACTAAATAATTCTTATTTTTCATGAAGGGATTTTATGTGGAACAATTTAACAGGCAGCATCCCAAAAGAGATAGGAAACATCACTACACTCAAACTTATGTAAGTGCTTTCTATTGACTTCCCCCTTCGATATGCAAAGAAATCAATGGAACCTTCTAAGATACATAATTTGTCTGTTCCTTTGCTGCTAAACCTATGCAAGATCTTTTTGGCGCAGAAGTACTTACACAATAGATACTGTGTACATAACAAAACACTTAGTATCATTTATTATTTACATGAGGAATAATCACAGCAACATCCCAATATGTATATAACAAATTATGCCAATTGTTAAGTTTTATGCCTTTTGCAGACTATTGAATGGCAATCAGCTCTCTGGTTTCCTACCAGATGAGATCGGCAACCTTCAGAGCTTGAACAGGTTACAAATTGACCAAAACCAAATACTGGGACCGATACCGAAGTCATTTGCCAACTTAAGAAATGTGAAACATCTGTAAGAAATGTTCATTTCCATTTTCCCTATGCTTTGCTAATTGATGTTCAATGTGAACTTAGCTCTAACCTCTGTTTTCCATTCATTTCAGCCACATGAACAATAATTCATTAAGTGGGAAAATTCCATCTGAATTGTGGAGAATCCCGTTACTTCTTCACCTGTATGTGGAAGTCTATTTCTTTCCCAAAATGTTCTCCTTGTGAAAGTTTAGTAGGAATTATGTATCTGATATTTGTTTTTCGATGTAACGAACACTTGCAAATTTGCAGCCTTGTTGACAACAACAATTTGTCTGGACCTCTTCCTACAGAATTAGCAAAGTCACCTGTTTTGAAAATACTGTATGTGCCCCATTAGCACATTCTGAGTAGAACTTTTCTCATGAAAATAAAAATAAAAAACACCTGTTTCTTATATTCATATGTTTCTGTTTCTAGTCAGGCTGACAACAATAACTTCAGTGGAAGTTCCATCCCTTCTACATACAGCAACATAAAAACACTGTTAAAGCTGTGAGTATGATCTTTTCTTTCTCTATCCTTACACGTTTGTCTTTTTCCTCCTTATTTTATACAATTTTAAATATCTCCATATAATGATTTTGTTCCAGTTTTATTAAGCAACATCTCAACATGCCAATGTCTAATATCCGTCATTCTTACACTTACACTGAGTTCGTGGAACTGAGGAGAACTTTTCTTGTGTTATCAGGAGTCTTAGGAACTGCAACTTGCAGGGCGCTATTCCTGATCTGAGTGCCATATCTGAACTTGGCTATTTGTGAGTGCACTAGCCCTGCTAAAAGTACATGCATAGTTATTTTCCAATTATTATCTTTTGATGTTATGGCTTGCACTTTGAACGTGGCATACCTTATACTTCTTGTTACTGATGATTTATGTTTGAGATAGCAGTTTGACAATCCATTTTAAGTTCATGCATTTCAGGAAATAACTCCACCGGTGTCTAAACTACTATTACTCACATGCATTTTCAGGGATCTTAGCTGGAACAAACTGACAGGACCAATACCAACTAATAAGCTTGCGCCAAATATCACTACTCTGTATGTACCTCTGATAATGTTTGTCTATTGTCTTTAGTCACTCGACTAATTTCTGTTTTCTGGCAGTGATTTGTCACACAACTTGCTTAATGGAACTGTCCCGTTAAACTTCTCAGAGCTTCCTAATCTTCAGCTTTTGTAAGTACACCATTTAGGCCATGTTTGGCATTGCGCTGGATTATCATACTGTTTGCCCAACCCACTTGTGCCAACTGTAGTCTTTGTTTTAACCACTCTTCACATATTCTATTGGATATTTTTTCACAAAATATTATAAAATAAGCACAGAAAAACACAGTTCAGCAACCGCAAACTGAGCCTTAGTTTCCTAAATCCTGCTTCAGACATCTTTCTGTCTTACTGCAAACGTAAATAATGTGAACTCTAGATCATATCTTATTAAGTGAAGACTTGGGGTTTCTGCAGGTGTATATTGATCAACTCATTGTTGGTTTACAAGTACTACTTACTTTTATTTAGATTGATACAAAATCACCCTGTATGAGTTGTTTTTTTTATCATGATTGCAAATACAGGCATACGTAAATAGTTTCTGTGTAATCATATACTCTTTATGCTTTATTTTTCTAGATGTGCATGACAAGTTCATTTTACAGGTCAGTTGAAAACAACCATCTAGATGGTGATGTTCCCTCGACAATCTGGAATGACATCGTTCTTACTGGAAATCGAAGCCTTGTTCTGTATGATCCCTTTTGCAGATATTTTTCCTGATAGTATCAACTATGTATATTTAATGCATTTTTCGATCATGCAGGGATTTCCAAAATAATTACCTCAAGACTATTCCAGCTGCATTTAGTCCTCCCCAAAATGTTACTGTAATGTACGTTCTCATACATATCTCATGCTTTATCATGCATCAGCAATTTGCATTACCACATAAACATATCCATATTATCTGTTCAAATGCATCCTCTGAACATGCAAGTATATTTTAGTTGATCTCTGTTTTGGTGATCAGCACCACCTTTGTTATCTACTTAGAGTTGCAAGTCCCCCTTTCTGAATTTGAGAATAAAATAAGAACTAGAAATTGATTTCGCAATGCATACTTGTATCTGTTGTGAACTGAAATATAATGTAATGGATAGTAATCACTACTGTTGTCATTTTGTGCAGGTTGTATGGAAACCCTGTCTGTGGGAATTCTAGTGGAGCTCCGATAGACAGTCTCTGTCAACCCCAGTCTGTAAACCAGCAAACCTCTAAACAGCAACAAGACTCTAGCCCAATTTGTTCACCTTGCCCATCAGATAAAAATTACGAGTACAACCCATCATCCCCTATACCATGTTTTTGTGCCGTGCCACTTGGAGTTGGACTTCGACTGAAGAGTCCAGGAATCACAGACTTCAATCCTTATGAAGGTGCCTTCGGGGACAGCACAACGTCTTTATTGAAACTGTATGTTTACCAGCTACATGTTGAGCACTACACATGGGAGGTGGGTCCAAGGCTCAACATGCACCTCAAGTTATTCCCAAGCAATACAAGTTTATTCAATATGTCTGAGGTTGTGCGACTCCGACATGTACTTGCTGGATGGGAAATTACTCTTCCAGATATCTTTGGTCCATATGAGCTTCTCAATTTCACACTTGGTTCTTATGCAGATGGTATGTACTCTCCGAAGCTCAATTGTGCAAAAGCATAGTTTTATGATGAAAATTCTAATTTTAGGCCATGTGGGGGTACTAAATGGTGGCAATTTTCTTTGTAGCCTTTCTGTTAGTTTGGTCAGCACAATTAATGGCTCCATGCAACACAACTATCTAGTATTTGTCGTTGGCAAGTTATTTTGATTAAATACTTCCATAGATTTCTGTAGAAGATAGGAAGGCATAGTGTAACTAATAATTGATTTTTTATTTTATTTTTGATTCATGATTCATTTGTTTCTATGGTGCCACTGTCCTCTGACCAGTTACTCCCATCTGTTACTAGTAACATGTCTGTTGTGCATAATTTTTACAGAATATCCAAATGAAGCTTCATCGGGTTTAAGCAAAACCGCAATGGGCGGTATCCTGGCAGGCGCAATAGCTGCTGCTTTTGCACTTTCTGCAGTAGCCACTGTTTTTATAATGAGAAGGCGTTCAAGACACAGAAGTAGAACCATTTCAAAACGGTCACGTAAGTCACTAATACTTTTGTATGCAATAAACTGATTATGCAAATAAACGTTGCTAGCAGACATCTTATTCAAGAGGTAGCACCTGAAGATTTGCATCACATTACCATTTGCAGTGTCGAGATTTTCTGTCAAAATTGACGGTGTGAGGTGCTTCAAATTTGAAGAAATGGCTAGGGCCACCAATAATTTTGACCTGTTAGCTCAAGTTGGTCAAGGAGGTTATGGAAAAGTCTATAGAGGAACTCTAGATGATGGGGAAATTGTAGCAATCAAACGGGCACATGAGGATTCTCTGCAAGGTTCGAAGGAGTTCTGCACGGAAATAGAGCTGTTATCCAGATTGCATCATCGGAATCTGGTTTCCTTAGTTGGCTATTGTGATGAAGCAGATGAACAGGTGCATCTCTTTTGTTTACATTATTAATAAAGATATGATATTTTGTCAACATTACACTGATAAGAAGATGTGCCTAATGCTACACTGAAGAGCAATCCTATTAATTTCTGTCATTCATGCTGTCATGCGAAATTGTGTTTTTGCAGATGCTAGTTTATGAATACATGCCAAATGGTACTTTACGCGATCATCTTTCTTGTAAGTACACAGTGACCTTGTATTATTCAAATTTTATTTCAAAATTTTCATTTTATTTCCAGTACTACATTGATTCTGTAGGCCCAGTTGGGTTGGGTGGTCCGGGATCCCGGCTGATCCTGCTCATCCAAACTAGCCAGGGCTCTTAATTCAAGATCATCTGTATACTCATCAGTTTAGTGAATCTTATTTGTAGATGTGTTTTCATCAATTATATATGATTTGGAACTCTTGATAGTTTAGTGCAATCATTGGACCATTCGACCTGTTCAAACTGTTTTCCTCAATTAAGCACCTCATCTTATGTTGCAATTTTCCGCCGATCGCAGCCAAGGCCAAACTATCTCCCGGTTTTGGGTTGAGGCTTCACATAGCATTGGGTGCCTCCAAGGGAATTCTGTATCTACACACTGATGCAAACCCTCCTATATTTCACCGTGATGTGAAGGCCAGTAACATTCTTTTGGACTCGAAATTTGTTCCAAAGGTGGCTGACTTTGGTCTTTCGAGGCTTGCCCCAGTGCCGGATATTGAAGGGACATTAGCAGGTCATGTTTCCACTGTTGTTAAGGGCACACCAGTAAGTATTAGTTATACCAGAGATACTACAGTTGCCGCGCTTTCTAGCAGAATAACGAGATAATTCGTTTTCTTTTTGGCAGGGATATCTTGATCCAGAATACTTCCTGACTCATAAATTGACGGATAAAAGTGACGTGTACAGCCTTGGTGTTGTGTTTCTTGAAATGTTGACTGGGATGAAGCCAATTGAGCATGGGAAGAACATAGTGAGAGAGGTAAATAATCTTCACTTTAAACTGTAATTTTAGCTAGCTTTGGAAATCCACATAAAGTATAAACATGATTCAGCATGTTTAACTAATGAGGGGATATCAGCGGGCACCAGGCAGTGGCTCAACATGTTCTTTTGAACTTGCTTTAGAGAAAGTGACAACATCATTCAGCACACATGAATTTAAGTGGAACGCAAACAGTTCAGTAAAGTAACTAATTTTGTGCATGTTATAGGTAAACAAAGCGTACCAATCAGGCAATATTTCTGAAATCGTCGACAGCCGGATGGGCCTGTGTCCTCCAGACTGCATCAATAGGTTCCTCTTGCTAGCAACCAAGTGCTGCCAGGATGAGACCGACGCAAGGCCTTCCATGTCAGAGATCGTCCGAGAACTCGAGGTCATCTTGAGGATGATGCCTGAGGCGGATCTTGTTCTGCTGGAGACTACGGATACAGACTCAGCTGATATGAGTAAATCCTTGTCAACTTCTTCAGCAACCGGGACTTCCTTTGTCACACAGACCTCTGGCAGTGTTAATGCAAGCAGCGGCGTGCTCTCTGAGGTGCTGTCTCCTCGCTGATCTTGGTGTTTTCATAGGATTTTAACTTGTAAATGCGATGATGTTTTGTACAATTGACTTGTTACGCTTGGATAGTTTGTGTTGTACATTAATTAATTAGTCAGCTTTGATGTAAACTAGAGAATGTGAATGAGAATAGCTGAGGAATATTGACATAGCTTGAGCTTTCCAGAAATTTAGCAGCTTCATGTACGCAGGGTGACATGAGCTGTGGTTCTCACTTATGCTGGACATTCCAGAATTTCAGAAGCTTCATGTACACAGAATGAGTGATGATTAGCATCATGTACACATAAACATGGTGAGAAACATATTGCAGTGCTTGAGACACACCATATTAGCATAATATATAGGGGTTACGAAAGCTAGATTACTGGTACCAGAACATCTCTTTACATGTAATCTAGGCCGACAATATGCCGATAATGGCTAAAAGTATCGGTTTGCCGCAGTGGAAGGGTGATTACTGAGCACCCATGTTTTAAAACAGGCCAACAAAAGATGCAAAACAGATGACCTGGCAGGAGAGCGCATCGGTAATACGGCAACATACTTGCCCTAAGTACCTATATTTCAGGACTGACGAACCAATAAGAGAACTACCGTCGCCCACGGAGCTTTCTTCTTTTAGCTCCTTTTAGAGGTTCAGGGCTGGAAGGGAGCTTTCTTCTTTTAGCTCCTTTTAGAGGTTCAGGGCTGGAAGGGGGTTCAGAAACAGGTGAATCCGTCTGGTCAGGAACTTCCTGGGCTGAATCACTGTCCACATCAGTATTCTTATCATTAGGCTCGGCCTCTTTTCCATCTTCGATAGCTTTAAAAATGTAAATCTGCAACAAATAAATAATAGCATGTGAAGGGCTATAGATGTAGAACCCAAAAAATGCAACTAAATGTACATCAGAACAAATTGCTAGACCTGATGTTTATTACTGTTTGAGTATGCATGCAACACGATTCCTCAGCTCGATGATAGTCATACAAATCTCTTCCCCAATTTTGTTCATACAAGGCACCGCAAATTTTGGGTCTAACTTTGACCATCGATTTAACCAATAAAGTATGAGTTATATCCGCTAAAAAAGTATACCATTTGGAACTTTTTCAAAGGTGATGAGTCAATGGTATATTTTTTGTGGTATATAACTCGTTGGTCAAATCGATGGTTAAACATAAGACACAAAATATGAGGCGGACTTGCATAAAGAAAAGGAGGGAAGAACATATCAGTATCATACCAGTTTTCCCCTGTTTGTGTTATATACATTAATATGCACTCTCTCGAAGGTAATTTATGATTTCAGAAATTTATGATTTTGTTCACTTGTATAGTTCTACGTGAGCTCCTTAATCCGGTCCCAGCAGGAAAAAGACCTTAATTGAGAGTTGGGACAAGATTGCAAGTTTTGCAGCAATGATAACAAAGTTTATCTGCTCCAGATTAATGAGGAACTAGAGAAAAATAGTTAGTACCTTAAATCTGTCAGGTTCAGCCAATTCAAAGACCAATGAATCCCCATCTTCCAAGTCATGGTGCATTGAGAAGCCTCTCCATCCACCACTCAGACCTGTTCGATTTCCGATGTATACGGCATCAAATTCAACACCCTCTTCATCCTCCAACACCATCTTATGTTCTCTGGGAGGCAGATGATCTTTGCAGAAACTAGAAGGGAGACCCTTGTATAAAGGAAAATTCGCAACCGTGAGTATTAGTTGATCTTGCATATGTATCGAAATTGATTAAACAAAAATCCAGGGAACAACATCTTACAAGCCAAAAGCAGCTGGATACATGTGATCGAACCATGGTCTTGACAAACGACGGGTTGTCAGGGTCTAGACTATCTTGAAGTTTCTCAGCTCTTTTAAAAGCACGCTGTTGTTGTTGATAAGAAGAAATTCTCCCAGTGTATCCCCTACCATTGTCCACACTTTTACTTATCCTGGTCAATAAAGGAGAGTAACCAATTACATTAAGAAGGGGACAACCATGTCCAAGATTAATCAACAAAGTTAGTGAGACTACTACCTTCTGCGGCGCACAAAATCATCAAGTTCCGGAAACTGCAAAAACAAACAAATGGCAGTCTAGTGTCAACATTAGCATGGCAACGCAAAAACAAATTAAGTCACTTCATGAACAAAATGAAGACAAAACTACATCTGGGGACAAACCAAGGCACTAAGGAACAATTTTGTAGAGTACCCATTTGAGGAACTCCACAAAACGGGGTTAGCAAAGACTTTGCTTTTTCGAATTTGCAGTTGTTACCTACACATTTAGAAACAGAATAACACTATCTAACTTCATATAGCACACATATTTCATATCCGTGTTAGCAGGCACGGTCACGGCAGAGGAGTGTGGCCCCAAATGATCGCCGATAGAACATATACAAACCCCATCCCAAGTTCCCAACCGCATCAGATTGCAAGAATGAGAGAAACAACATTCAGGAAGGATATATCCCCCTTCAAACAGAGTATCCTAAAGAAACTATTAAAATAAAGACAATAATTACCTCACAGAGTCAAATAAAGACAAAACTGCATCTGGGGGCAAATCAAGACACTAAGGAACCCATTTTTGTAAAATACCCATTTGAGGTTGCCATGAACTTCACAAACAGGATTAGCAAAGGATTTTTTTTTCTTTCGAATTTGCACTTTTTACCTACAGGTTTAGAAGCAGGACAACAATATCTAACTTCATATAGCACAGGTATTTCGTATCTGTAGCAGGCCCCAAATGATAACGGATACTAGAACATATACAAACCCCAGCCCAACCGATGCATTAGATTGCAAGAATGACAGAAACAACATCCAAAAAGGGTATGTTCTCCTTCGAACAGAGTATAGTAAAAAAACTGTTTTTAAAATCAGAAACACAGCAAATCTAACGAAGCCATAAGACCGGCTTAAAAAGAGCGAGGACTCACATCATCCTTGTAGGAAACAGTGGTCCTGGCCCTGGAGGAGCGCCTGACTTCAGTGGTGGCCTCGAACTTCTTCCTGGACTTTGGGCTCGCCCGAGGGGTCTGCAAAATCAACGAAATCGATCGAAACAACCCACGGCAACCGCGCCTCACTAAAACACCGCCCGGATTGAAAGCGCAGCTGCTGCGATGCGCGCACCTTGTCCTGCTGCCTCGTGGCCTGGATCAGGCTCTTGGCCATCTTCGATATGCCCAAATCCTGCAGAAAAAGGGGGGAAGAGGCAAAGAAATTAGTTTTCTGAAAACAAATCCGAAGCCACGGCGAAGAATCCAGAGACAAATCGGCAGTGAGTATCGTCGCGAAATGACTCATCTTTCGCGCATCTGCTGCTGCTCGTAAGAAAAGGGGGGAGAGAAGGAAGGGGATTGGTCCGTGCTGGTTATTTGAGCGCGAGAGTACAAACCTCGAGGTGCTTGAGGTTGTCGAGGATCCGCTTCCGGCGCTCCTCCTCGTAGGCGGCGCCCGCGCCGCTGGCGCTGCCCGCCTCCGCCGTCGCCATGGGCCGGCTTCTCTGTCCTCTGTCTTGTCCACGCGGAGGGCGAGACGCGGGTCAAGGGGAGGGTCAAAGTATTTTCGGTTCCTTTGGGAGAGGAGTGGGAGGGAGGGGGGCGGGCCGGCCTGCCTTTGTTTGAAGGAAGACGCACACGGCTTTGGGGATTTTGAATTTCAACGGAACGGAGGGGAGAAGAGAAGGGGATCCGACCGACGCGTCGCACGGCAACGGCGACGGCTGGTGTCGCCGTGCGGCTGCCAGGTGGGCCCAGGCGCTCGTTCACGTGATGGCACTCCTGCCACGGAGTATCAAATATGGGACAGTAGACCGGGAGCTCCTATAGGGCGCCTTAAGCGCCGGTTGAGGATCCGGGAGCCCACTGCAGCCCGCTAGTGGGCCGGCCCATAAATACGCTGGCCATTGAAAAAATGTATTTCTGCCGCAAAAAAGAATACTGTGAATCTTCGCTCTTGGGAGAATTCGAACCCGCGCAAACAAGCAGCAGCGCATGGTAGGCTTACCACTAGACCAACTATGCGTAACTGAAATAATTGCAACGCGTAACATTTAAGAGGTAAAGCTCATCCACGCTATATAGAAAACCGTGATTCCTTCTGGAAAAAAATTGAACAAAATTTGAATATCCACATATTTAAAAAAACATCGCGAAAAAGAAAAAAAAAGTTCATTAAAATGGAAAAGTTCATCGATTTGAAAATAGTTCATAGATTTTGAAAAAAAGTTCACGAATTTCAAAAAAAATCACTGATTTTGAAAAAAAGTTCATCGAATTTGAAAAAAGTTCATCGAATTTGAAAAAAAGTTCACTGATTTTATAATTCATATGATTTGAAAAAAGTTCATCGAATTGAAAAAATTCACCGAATTTCAAAGAACGTTCATATAATCCGTTGAACTATTCTCATAGAATTAGAGAAAGGAAAAAAGAATAGGAAAAAGAATAAGAAAAATGAAATGAAGGAATAATAAAGGAGCAGAAAGGTTGTTTGTAACCACGTCTGATCTACCGGTCGGGTTGGCTAACGTAGCTTGCTTGCAAAGCGAGGTCGTACGTTCGAAACCCGCCGGTCGCACTCTTTTTGCATCACTTATAGACGGAAAGTGGGAGGCGTTTGCATCACTTATAGACGGAAAGTGGGAGGCGGTATGGGCCGGCCCATCTCAGTGTGGGGGGTGTGCGCCCGTTTGCGTACACCGAAGGAACGGGCGCAGAGGGCGCCGTTTGGGGTTTGCCCAGTAGACCTGGCCATGGGCAGCCTGGCCCGGTCGGCCCGACCTTGTCCACGGCCCGGGCTCAGGCCTAGATTTCAAGCCCGATGGCCGGGCCAGGCCGGGCTCGGGCCCATCGTATTGGCGCATTAACAAAGAGGCCCGGCGGGCTTTTAGCGTGATGGGCCGGCTCGGGTCTGGGTTTTTTGCATCGGGCTTTAGTAGGCCTGGCTCGAAGCCCGACCCGACCCTATAGATAGCCAGGTATATATGGGAGCAACTTCATGAGCAGAGCATGGTTGATAATTTTGCCGGCATGGCCAGGTATATATGGGAGCAACTTCATGAGCAGAGCATGGTTGATAATTTTGCCGGTTGTTGGCTATATTATGAACTCGACAACATCCCATGCGTTGCATGGGAGATGGTGGTGTAATAAACAATTTGAAAAAAAGATGCACGATAAAGAGAAAAAGAATAAGAAAATAAAAAAATGTTTTGCAACAGAAGAGGCAGGCTGAGTGTCTCTTGCACTCACATTGGTTCACATAAAAGGAAGCAAATAATGAAGAATAGCACTCGCTCTGCAGACGAGTGGTATTTACCGTGGTAATACCTACTCCTCATAAGTATCATCCATATGAAATACTAAAAACTTCTCATTCATAGACAAAGTCAATGAGGTGGTGAGAAAGCGAGGCTTGTAGCAAAAGGGTTCACGTAGAGACCCGACATCGATTATGATGTAAGATACCCTTTTGGTATGAGTGGAATTATGTTTCGATAATAAAATTCATTGGCAGTACAAATAATATTATTCATGTAGTTAATGGATGCGGTGACTACATACTCTTATGGGTCACTCGTTTCAAAAATCTATATTGAAGTCCCTGTAGGGCTTACAATTCCGGATCCAAAAGTAAATCGTAACATTTTTGTGTAAAACTTCAAAAGTCACTCTATGGTTCGAAATAGTCGGAAATCATATGGTACTACCGACTAACTGAGTTCTTTCTTCAGAAGGATTGCTCAAATAATGATGATTGTTTATGTGCTTTAATAAGGAAATCACAAATTTGATTTCCTTACATCATCTTAGTGTATATCGATGATTTCATCATCAATGTCTCTACAAGACCTAAAAATACATAAAATCATCTCAAGATGGAAAATTTGGATTCAACCAAATTTAGCTTAAGCTTACAACTTGAGCATTCTCTTGAGAATACATAAATCAGTCTACATATATCCAAAACATATACGAGAAGTTCAGTATGGATATATCATAACAATAAAAGACGTATATGGTCATACTGCCTTGGTAGTGTACAAATCCATTCATACCTAGGGTGATAATCAGGACCTATAGTTCTACATCTCACTAACTCCAAGGCACTTATATAACTGCAAACTACGTCAAATCTGACACTATATTTGTTATCTTTATTCAGAGTGCAACCCCCAACAAAAAGGTATATGGTCGATATAAAAATATTAGGTTATGTCTCAAGCTCACAATAAATCTTGGACAATTCCATAAAAAAAATGAAAATATGACCATGATATGATGTAATGGTATTGGCTCTTTATTTGATCTCAGTAATGCCATATCAATGAGTGAATTCACTGTAATAGGCTTATCATGAAAGTCATCTAAATAGACATTAACGGTCATTTCCACTTATCATTCTGACATATTGCTTTATCTAAAAGCATTGCAAAATATGTATGGCTCGATAGAATGATTAACCACACTCAAAATCATGTGGTTGAGATTCAGTAGAATCGCATAACCTGATTTTATCAAGATTCTACCACTTGTGTTACCCAATACCTACAGGTTATATCAAAAGCAATATCGTAAAGCACATTGCTCAAAAATCACTTATCCTCGTGAATTGTAGAAAGTGAGGAAATAATTTGCAAACAAAATATTGGAAAATCCAACAAATTATTCACAATGTCATTATCATGTCAATGGAATTGATATGAGACATCCTCTGGATTTGCACACAGGGGGTAATCTCCCAAACTATAACTTGTTAACAATCCCCAGATTGCATATATTGTACTCTTTTTTCCTTATATGAGTTTTTCCCTAATGGTTTCTCACAAAAGGTTTTTAATGAGACAATATAACACAAGTGTTCATATATGCCATATCATTTTATCCTTATATTTTTTCCATTGGGTTTTGAAGGAATTTTTAATGACATATCGGGTTGCACTCTTTTCCTTATGAGTTTTGCTCAAAGTTTCTCATAAATTTTTTTAATGAGGCAATATATTTTCAACATCATATGCGCTACTTTCAAGTTTTTCCTCGTCGGGGTTTTTAAAAGCAAAGCATACAATGCATATTGTTTTCTTAACTCACCAATGAGTTTTTCCTTCTCAAAGGTTTTTCTCATAAAGTTATCAAGAGATAATAATCATTATATATTGTATCATTTTCTCCTTATTTTCCCATTGGGTTTAAAGGAGTTTTAACAACATATCAACTACTATCATCCTCATATTTTTCCCCATAGGGTTTTTGGAGGAGTCTTTCTCAAGATGGAATGATGAACATTCTCAAGGACGCGGCTATTTGTAAAGAAGTCCTTATCGAGAAGATGGCTATTTACAAGATCAAGAATTGATTAGGGGGTGTTAGGAATAATTAATATGTAGTTTTATGTAATTAATCAATGATATGTCGGTTGTCCTTTTTGGCAACCACCCCCTTTGTAAACTGCTATGTACTAGGTGTAAATACCCCTAATTTCCATCAATGAGATGATTATTGTTCATTCCAATCATTTGCTCCTCTCTCTCTCTCTCTCGTTTTCCTTTTCACAGTTTTGGAGAGTGGGAGGGGGCGGGGCGGCCTGCCTTTCGTTCTTTGTTGGGAAAATAGACACGGGTTTGGGGATTTTGAATTTGAACAGAATGGAGGAGAGGGAGAGGGTTCGACCAGCACGTCGCACGACAATGGAAGGGCGACGGCTAGTGTCGTTGTGCGGCTGGCAGGTGGGCCCAGGCGCTCGTTCACGTGATGGCAATCCTCTTACCACGGAGTATCAAATATGGGAGTGAATTCATCAGCAGAGCATGGCTGATAATTTAGCTTGTTGCTGGCTATGTTGTCAGCTATACAATACCCCGCACGTTGCAGTGAGATGGTAGTGTAATAAACAATTTGAAAGAGAGGGGTACACGGTAAGGAGAAAAAGAGTAAGAAAATAAAAATAAGAAAAGTTTTGCAGAAGATGGCTTGAATTTAACGTGTAACTCTGAAATCAACTTACTAAGGATCAGTTCTCTAACCAAATTTGCAAAGGATCTTATCTTTTATCATCTCAATGGAAAGTAGACAATACATCTGATGTGCTGTTACTCCCTTCGTTCCTAAATATAAGTATTTTTAGAGATTTCAACATGGACTACAAACGGAGAAAAACGAGTGAATCTAAACACTAAAATATGCCTACATACATCCGTATATAGTCCATATTGAAATATCTAAAAAGACTTATATTTAGGAATGGGGTGAGTAATAAAAAAGTATCAATTAATACTGCAATACAAATTACATGTCTGCACCTTGAATGAACTCCCAACGCTAATATTTCTCGGGTATGTGATTTCGCTGAACTTGCATATATATATATATATATATATATATATATATATATATATATATATAGGGTCACGCTATTCGTTACCCTGGGTGAGGAATAGTTATTCTTCACCCCCTCTCTATTTTGACGTCAATGCACCGTATTTTTAGGTTT